TAACCTTCTTTACAGATTTTCTAAACTTATTTACTTACTATTATTTCTAACGCTTTAGTACGTTTTTTTATTTTTCGAGCTAATTCTTCTTTATACGCGCTACTAACAACGTATTAAGTACTGCTACTTCTACTGTATTAGCTTTAGGCTTCTATTACTCTAAGTAAGCTAATTTCTTATCTAGTTTTAAGAAATCTAGTATAGATATATCTACTAATATATACGTCTTTACGCTATTTCTATAATAATCTCTATACTTCTTTTTTAAAGATAATATCTAATATTCTAGATTTCTCTTTACGTAATATTAATAAGTAACTAAGTTAGCACTATTAATATATTAGCAGGCGACCTTAATAATCGTCTGCTGATCTTCGCTTAGCTTAACTACCTGCACAGTTTCGCTTAAATTTGTATTTCCCTAAGGCGACGGCGAGTTATATTATATAGCACCTGTTGTGCTTGGAGGCGGAGGCGGAAACTCGAGCGTATAGCTCGTACCGTGCCCGTGCACCCTGGTAGATGAGAGCCGGCGGCAGTGCCTCGCCAGAAGCGCATACGCAAGCCAGCAGCGTCATCCATTCTCTGCTGCCATCTTGGATCGCTGCAGTACGCTCTTTTGGCTGCCAAACTGCCTTACTAAAGACTCGTTTCGATCGCGCGGTGATACCAGTAAAGAAGCCCTTCTCATCCATATTGTAGGTGTTGCGCTCGTCAAGGTCGTCCTCGCGCATCTTGAAGTGAAGTATAACAAAGCAGGACTCGTACCTAGCTTTACTGTCAGCGTCGTTGCGGTTGCGATCGATCCCAGCGCTCCATTGGGTGGTGAGTTTATCGGAATGGCGATGCAGAAACCGAGTAACCCAGCTCTCGGAGATCTCCTGTTTCGCAACTGCGCCAGCGAGATTTTGTACCATCTCGCGTGTAGGTGGCAAACCTCGCCTTGTGCATTTTTCTATATATAGCACTAGCTCTAACTCCTGTTCTTGGTTGAGTAACTGTCGCTCGCGCTGCTCCTCGTCTCGCGGGCGCTGAACACCTTGGTGGCGGCGCGCCAACGTTGTTCTGTCAACACCGAATTTGTTTTTCGCGACTTCGTGATACGCGGACTGTTCTCCTTCTTCATGCGATTCCAGATCTTTAATCACGTCTTGAATCGGATCCATCGTGGTGGAGTTATGACGCGCTGAAGTTGGGACGATTATCGTGTTCTAGTGTTCGGGTGGCTCGTCGGCCGAACTGGCTCGTTGGGTGCACGAGCACGGGTACCCATAGCTTATCACCCCTCCGGCAGGATCACCTTACCGGCAGCGAACACCAAAACCACCTACATCAGAGATGAGGCTGCAGCAGCTACCACAGTTGCTATTATCACGAGCTTTCTTGGTAGAGGTATCGCATAAGCATGATACTCAATCCTATCTATCTAAATCTCATTGGTGGGTTGATAGCGCGGCCTGATTTGGAGGTAGGTGGCGGAGGTGGCGGGGAAGGCGTAGGAATACCCCCTACCTTAGCACCACCTCGTGCAGCCACCACCTGCTTCTTTTTGCTCTGTGAGGTGAGCTCTTTCTTATTACCCTTTTTAGCAAATACCCTCTGCTTTTGGAGCCGTTCTTTGGCTTCCTTTGCGCGCTGTTTCTCCTCGCGCTTTGCCGCCTGATCTGCCTCCTTCTGCACCCTCCGCGCCTCCCTTTCAACCTCGGTGTTAGCGACCATTTGGCGCCTCTCTTCAAGCAGCCTTTGCCTGGCCTCTCTCCTAGCTATCTTCTCTACCTTTCGGGCAGCTTTCTGTTGTTGTGCTTGTAGTTCTTCCTGCTCCACCAGCGCTGTAAGTTTTCTGTATCTAGTGATCGCCTTAGGTGAAAGGAGTAAGGCTCCACCTTGGCTGTAACCCTCTTGCTCAAGCCTTTCAAGTGAACTACGTTTCTTAGGCTTCTTCTTGCGCCGTGGTGAACGTTTGGCATCTTCAAGCTCGTCATCACGGAGGTTGTGCTTGATAATCTGAGTGTGGACCTGAGCCTCAAGCTCCTTGGCTGCTAGAGTAGTTATATCTTCAACCGCCGCTCTTATGAGGCGTCTCATGCCTCTCCAGTCGCCTGCGCTTAGTGTTGAGGTGGTAGAGCCTTCGCGATCTTGCTGAGGAGGAGGGGTGGTAAGCTTCTTGAGGATTCTATCTGCGTTGGTAGGAAAGATCCCAGTGACCTCGAAAGAGCTCTGAATGAGCTCTTCTGTAAAGGAGGCATTTCAGGCGTTCCAGAAGAGGGCAAAGAAGTCTCTCTTAGCTAGAGGTGTAAGCCCTTGGCTCTCAAAGGTATAGCAAGAGAGCTCATTGTGATAGGCAGAGGAGAGAGGCTTAAAGAGCGATACATCAAGTGGTTGCAGAGTGTGGGTCGCATGAGCTGGAAACCGAAGGAGGAGGATCTTGTTCTGGTCGCAATAGTTGACGAAAGGCATGGTAAGGTGAGATCCATGGCCATCAACAATGAGGAGGCGCCATGACTGACGCGCCTTTGCCCTAGTTTGGCGATCAAAGACGTTCTTGAGCCATCCAAGCGCTATCTCGTCATTAGACCAGCCAGGTGGAGAGGCAGTGATAAAGGCAGAGTGATGCTCAGGGTTGACGTCGGCTACCTAGCTCTCTTGCACCAAGGAGGCGTCTGACTTGCAGATGAGGGTAGGATCCAGAGCCGTCCCACCAGCGCATATACATGCCATAAGGGTTATCCACTCGCGTGAGCCGTCCTGGATAGGAGCCCTACGCCTGCCTTGCTCCCATGCTTGTCTGCTGAATATCCTCTTTGATCGACCAATCTGGCCGATAAGGAAGCCTTTCTCGTCAAGGTTATAGCTATGACAAGGCTCTATGCTGTAATCAGCTATCTTAGCTTGGATAAGGTCGAAATAGTGCTTGTATCTTGCAGCTGAACCAGCTAGGTGGCGCTCACGGTCCATGGCAGTCGTCCACTTCGGGATAAGTTCATCGTGGTAACGGCTGAGGAACCGCGACACCCAGGCCTTTCCAATCTCAGTTCTAGCTATTGTAGAGGCAAACGAGCGCACCATGGCTCTAGTAGGAGGTAGACCTTTGCCAGTAAGATCTATGATATACTGCACAAGCTCCTTTTCCTCAATCTCGTCGAGTTTCCGCTGGTCGCGCGCGGCGGCTTCCCGGGACTGCGCTAACCCTCTCCACCTATCCTGCAGCGTAGATCTTGCAACACCATGCTTTCTGGCCATTTCTGATATCGCAATAGGATCATTAAACCTCCTGGAGTCCATTTCCTCAAGCGCGGCCTCGATTGGAGTCATATTGGTGGGGATAAAGGGGGTGGTATGATGGGTGAACGTTCCTTGGTTTTGGTTTTCTCCGCCGGCTACCGTGTCCGTGCACCCAATGCACGGAGTCAACCAATGCACGCTCCGAGCCTGTACGGCCACCACAAAAGTGAGGCTATAGAGCCACACACAATAGTTAATATCGTGAGATTTTTTGATAGGTTAATCTATAGATCTATGCGACAAAGTTTATCATACAAAGTTACTGATATTTAGTGGCGGTGCGGCCGCTGCGTGTTGTGATAGTTGGGCGTGGTAGAGGAGGCGTCGCAGGCTTTGGGTGACTACGCGCACCCACAGCACGACGCGCAGGCTTCTGTTTGACAGCAGAAGCTTTTGAGGTTGGACGATTACCTCTTTGGGATAATTTGAGAGCTTTTGCAGCGTCGCGAGCCTCCTTATCCTTGCGTCTTTGCTCCTTGCGCGCATCGATGGCTGCTCGCTCCTCTGCCTTGGCCTGGTCTCTCGCTACCTTCTCCCTTGTCCGCTGCTCACGCTTCTCTTCTGCAATCTTCTCCTTGTAGAGTTTACTAGCAGCAGCTAACTCTCTCGTCTCTGCCTTTTTAAGCTCCTCTTCTTGTGCCTCTTGTTCTGCAACAGCCATGCGCGCGCGCGCCTCCCGGAAGGCTCGAGGAGACCACATCATCGCACCTCCGTGATACTCCTGATGCTGCTGCAGGTCTAATTGCCTATTAGGTTGCTTCTGGCGCTTACTGTTTTGGTAGAATTTCTTGCGTAAGCCATCTACTTCAACTTGGAGTAATTCTACTTGAGATGAGAGATGGTGGATAGTTTGACCCAGCTTCCGTGCGCCTACACTGCGCGAATCCTTCACCTCTGCCTGAAGTGTGGTGCAAGCTTTGAGCTAATCCTCTGCAGAATAAGCCGTAGAGCTAGAGGAGACTGATTCTAAGCTGTCAGGGCTTATGTGGCGGAACCTATCGAGTATGACGTCGGGATTCACTGGGGATATGCCGGTGGCTGTGAAGGCCTTTGATATGAGGTTTTCAGTGAACGTGGATACCTAGGCAGGCCAGAACAGGGCAAAGAAGTCACCTTTAGACAGTGGAGAAAGGCCCTGAGATACCTGGAGGTGGTTGTCGAGTTCACAGGAGTAGTTAGATGAGAGAGGCTTGAAGCAGACTACATCTAACGGCTGAAGAGTCTGGGTACTGTGAGGAGGCAATACTGCTAATATAATCCGCTTCTGGTGACAGTATTCGATAAACTCCTGGGTTAGATGACTCCCATGGCCATCCACAATTAAGAGCCGATACCTTAGCTGTGCCTTTGGCTTAGTGTATCGGTCAAACACCTGCTCAAGCCAAGCCAACCCTATATCATTGTTCGTCCATCCTGATGGCGATGAGGCGACATGGATAGCGTGCTTTCCCGCCTCGATATCCGCCACCCAGCGGCTTTGGATAGTGGAGTTCTTTGACGCGAAGATGATGCTAGGAGGAAGAGCAGTACCATCCGCGCAGATCGCGGCTAACAGGCTTGCCCACTCACGTGAGCCATCTTGACGAGCCTGCCTAACCTCCTTCTTCTCATATTGACGCCTGCTGAACACCCGTTTGGTTCTACCCAGCACCCCAATCGCGAAGCCCTTCTCATCCATATTGTATGTGTTCTCTGGCGCAATGTCGTATTGAGCGATCTTCTGCTGTAGAACCTCAAAGTACAACTGGTACTTGCATTGTGACTCAGCGTTATGGCGATTAGAGTCCATGCCGGTGGTCCATTGGAGGGTAAGCCGATCGCGGTGACGGTGCAGAAAGCGCTTGACCCAGCTATCAGAGCAGGGCTGTGAGGCAACTGAGGATGCGAAATTTTGTATCATATGCCTTGTAGGTGGTAAGTGACGCGCCGAAAGCTCTTCTATATACTTAACTAGATCTGATTCCTGTTGGTTGCTGAGCTTTTGTTGGTTCTCGTTGGCGACGCGTCGGGGGACCTGATTAAGTCGATGCGCGCGCGACAACGTTGAGCGATCAACACCATGTTTTTTTGCTATGTTTGTATACACAAGTTGTTCGCCAGGCTTCAAATTATCAATCTCTGCAAGCGCATCTGATATTCCTGTCATGGTGGTTGAGTAAATACGCGTTCAAAAGGTGGTGGTGATCGCATTGGTTGACTCCGTGCATTGGGTGCACGGACACTGTAGTTGATCCTGCCAGAGGGGTGATAAGCTACGGTAACGTGTTTCCCAGCCGAGCGCCCCACCCAACCGAGCGCCCCACGAACACCAGCGAAGCGCATACGCGACAATCAACACGTAATGTCTCAACAACCACAAATTTACATGGCCTATACTGAAGCTAATGTGCAGTTTGCCCTCTCTGACATTAAATGCGACCAGATTACAAGCCTGCGACGTGCTGAGGCAGTCTACAACGTTCCTCGTAGGACGATACAACGACGACGCGACGGGAAGCACTCTCGACGCGACTGCGAGCCGAACTCAAAGCGCCTAACAAAGCTAGAAGAGGTGGTGATTGTACAGCGTATACTTGACGAGACCCTACGTGGAGTACCGTGTATGAAGCTACACGTACAAGATATGGCTGATAGACTGCTGCGCGATCGCGGCGGCAAGCCTGTTGGCAAGAACTGGGTTGACAACTTTATACAACGTACACCTGAGCTACGCACGCGCTGGGGCCGTCCATACGATCGCCAGCGAGCTCTCTGCGAGGACTCAGCGATTATCCAGCCCTAGTTCACGCTGGTACAGAACATCAAGGCGAAGTACGGCATCGTAGACGACGACATGTACAACTTTGACGAGTCTGGCTTCCTAATAGGCAAGATATCGTCGCAACTCGTAGTGACAGGCACAGAGAAACCTGGGAAAGCGAAGAAGCTTCAGCCTGGCGATCGTGAGTGGACTACGCTAGTACATGGCGTTGGCGCAACAGGGCGCATTATCCCATCCTTCCTTATCTTTGCAGGCAAGGTCCTCATCTCTAGCTGGTTTACTAAGGACCTCCCACGCAACTGGGTTATTCAAGTAAGCCCAACAGGCTGGACAAACAACGACCTAGCGCTTGCCTGGCTTAAGCACTTCGATACGCATGCGAAGCCTGTAGGAGCCTACAGGCTGCTTATTATCGACGGCCACGAGAGCCACTGCGCGATAGATCTTGAGGATCGCTGCAAGGAGAAGAAGATAATCACCCTCTGTATGCCTCCACATTCGTCGCACTTGCTACAACCACTTAAAGTTGCCTGCTTCTCGCCGTTGAAGCGCGCGTACGGCGACGAGATCTCAGCCTTGGCACGCGACCGAGTCTACCACATCAACAAACAAACCTTCTTACCAGCCTTCAAAGCAGCTTTTGAGACGGCTATAACGCTAGAGAACGTTCGCGCAGGGTTTCAAGGCGCTAGATTAGCCCCACACAATCTAGAAGCTGTGTTATCGAAGCTAGACGTGCAGCTGCGTACGCCAACTCCACCACAGCGAGACGACAGCGCTTGGGAGGCGAAAAACACCACGCAACGCTAAAGAAATAGAGGCGCAATCAACGCTAATTCGAAACAGGATGCAAACCTATCGAGGGTCTCCAGCAAGTTCACTTAACGAACAGGTGCGACAGCTAACGAAAGGCGCGCAGCAGATAGCTCATGAGATGGTGTTAATGCGCGCAGAGATAGGGCGCCTTCGAGACGCAACAGAGACGCTTACTAAGCGTAAGAGTCGCAAGAGACGCTACGTACAGGCAGAGGAGACATTAACAGTTAGTAAGGTATCAGACTCAATTGCTAAAAGGGAGAGTGGCAGTCGTAAGGAGGGTAAGAAGCTGGCGAAGAGAGTGCGCGTAGGGCGACGCTGCGGCCGTTACGGCGAGATTAGGCACAACTCTCGCCCTTGCAAGGTAGAAATTAAGGATGCAGATAATAGCTACGCTTCTAAATAATACTATACCGTTGCAGGAGTACAAAGTTTATGTTGTAGTATTGCGCTACGTCGCTTCGCGTACGATTCATGGGTTTTCGTGGGGCGCTCGGTTGGGAAACACGTTAAGCTCTTTTGGTTAATAAGTAGGCTTCGGGTCACTCTGCATCGTAATCCAGCAAAGCGGCACTGCAGGGCTAGACAACGGAGAAATCCGCGCTCAAATGCTTGGCGCCTCGACACCATTTCCCTCCTCCAAATTGCCAACGTCATTTCCCTATCACTTGATGCGTGCGTTTCTCCCCCTGCGTCAACAGTCGCTTAGCTTGCCAATAAATCTGCCCTCTTTGCTTGCTTTATTCTCCCTCCAACATCGAAATGATTGTTCTAGCCTATCTTATTTCGGCGCCTCTGTCCGCGTCGCAAGAAGTTAGCGCTCATGACAGACCAAACCGCACATTCTTTGGCAGCCGAACAACCGATGAAGGGGATGAAGAACATCTGAGGCGGGTTTCTGAAATCTTGCTTGATCTGGAAAAAGGTGAGTAGGTATTTAGCCCCGCCCCAGACATTTCGTATGGACACCAATTGCCATCTACAGAGGGAACCTTTGACGCTCTACACAAACGTCTTCCGTTCAAGTGGAACGATGACGAGAAATACGATACGGTCAACCCGTTCGGAGATCCCCGACAGTATCAGTATCACGCCCTCTGGACCTTCGATACTCGAAATGACGTGTTGCGTTACACGAGTGCGGATTGTTGCAGTCAAATACCACTCGGTCTTCTTCGAGAGCGTGCTGTAAGTCTAGCTGACATGGAACCACTTGGCGGACCTATTCCTGTGCCGTTGGAGCATACGTTCGATTCAGAAACGCCTTGCTGGAAACCGCATGTAGGAGTCGACGACAGAATGCGTGCATTTGCACATCGCCTACTCCGGGATTTTCATCACCAGTGGAGGCATATCCTTCGAAACAATTACAATTCTGTAACTTTACGAGTACTTTCTCGAGCTATAATCTGGCTTTCGACGCTTGATTTCGAAGTTCACGAAAACACAGGCGGACATGGCCCGCGGGGCGTACATGTATGGATTACACAGTTGCCCGCCTGGGAGCCGTTCGAGACTGATATCGTGCGCGTTGGAACTGTCTGGGTCATCCTCTGCCACGATATTCAAAATGGACTGTCAATAGCTCAGCAACACGTAGCATCGCGGGAAATCAGCACAACTGGGAGTCCTAGCACGACGACGTCTGGGGAAGCGCATGCACATTACATGATCCTATCAGTCAAACACATCATGCTCTGCCACGCTACCGATCGGGTTTCACTCAAGCACACTGCTCCAGAGCCGCTGTTCAATGGCGATTATGGCACCGGACCACCCTCGGACCTAGCACTGAATTATCTCATCTGGGCGACTGCCTCCGCCAGACCTTCGATCTTTACAATCATCCAATCCCTACCCATTGAGGTCCAAGACATAATACTCAACTACTCATCCGTAGGCACAGTACTAGCTGCTAAACTCGGCTGCATGCTTGGCTTGGGATCCCCATTCTCGTGGAAAGATGGCCCACTAAAGGTTACGTTGGAGGAAAGGTACGTAATTCGGCCTTCGGGATCCTCTGTCGAGTCCCAGGTCTGGTTCGGTGAGCACAAGAGCGGTATATTCTATTTAGCACGAGCAGAATAGAGTCATTATATGGATACAGCTTTCCATTTGTCCAATGTAAGAGACAGGGAAAACCAGCTAACATTTGTAACTGTCTAAGAGGAACAGCTTTGGCAAAACAGTATAACAATACATCCCTCATCATCATACCGCCTCCTAGTGTACAGACTCTTTAATCACAAAAACGGGAGTGGCTGACGCTTCATGTTCCCAAACATGGTTGTGATCGCGTTGACGTCGTTACGTATATGTAGCCCACCACTCAACGCCGTAAGCACCCCTCTGTTGGCAGTGAAGAATTGAACATAAAGTCCAATGTGGACGATGCCGTAGACCTGCCCAGACTGGTTTTCTGTACCGGCACAATGTCGGCTCAGGTGATGCTCCGTCTCAGCCCAGCTCCTATCAGCCTTCTTACTCTCTAGCAAGCAGTAATCATACGCATATAGGCTTCCTCCGGGGCGAGATGTGATTTTGAGCACCGCCATGTCTGCCCTCGACTCGGTTTGGTCTAATTCCCCGCTCGACTCTTCCTGGAGAACGTCAAAGCCTTCGTCCTCCAGGAAGGAGTGCTTCAAAACCGCAATCATAACCCTTCTGTACAAGTACTCATGGGATTCAGGCGATCGCTCGACAAGCTGGAGGTGCGTTTGAACGTTGGCTTTGTCCAGGTAGGTTCGAGGTGCAGGGGGGTTCGGATTCGTACGTCTGATCCGTCCGGTTCTGGTATTGCGCCTGCACGGGACGCATGAGGGTACTTCTGATCTACATCTGCTATTGCCCGTGGGGGTCAAGGGTAACGGGTAAATACTTACCATTGTGGCCAACTCTTGGATCCATCAACGGCCCATGTATCCTGTAAATAAGATCAGTTCAACTCACTTGAAGGCTTGGTGCACACGCACCGTGTCGGCATCCTCCCATCCAACCGGTATATTATACTGTGTAGCCCTGGTATTAAGGTTCTCGTAATAATCCTGTCCAGCGGAATTCGACCACTGTCTCCATGTACCGCCAACAAGGGTTCCGAGTTCATATTGTGAACTGGCAGCCATTGCAAGAGAACAATAGATGGTATGCGTAGATTTCAGTGGTTTTTGAAAATGGGAGTGTTCGGATGATCAGAATGCGTGACTATCGAAAATACCAGAGATGTAGAGAATATATATACTCTCTATCACACCTACCAGAGCCTGCAGCTACCTAATATGTTTCATATGTCATGATAGGAAACGAGACCGACAAATGCTCCTGGCGCTTGTTCTACAACGAATGTAATATTATTGGAAGAGAGGTTACTGCAACTGCGGCGCTCTCGATACGATCACCAATTCCGCAACGCGCGCGCCTAGATTTCAAAATAGACTCCATCCCTATAATTGCTAGGGTTGTAGATATCTAGACGCGTTTCGAGGCATTCTATAAATTATGTCGGGTTGAGTACCAGCCGCAAACTTAGTGAAGATCACGGAACTATCCCACAGGGTGATTGAATACAACCAAGTCCCAAACGCGATGCGACGACAAGACATTCATGCTTAAAGGCAGGATATGCAGTTCTCGTAAGGCTTATGATTCATCCTCGGCACGTTTCAGACTGCCGCCTGCCCCTCGCCAGCGCTAAGCCCGGAGCGTCAAACCTCGCTAACTAACCGCTTCTTCTATTTGACCTCGAGCTGACACTCCAGCATCCATCCTTTGATCCCGTCATCATATATCTAGCACTGCACTCTGCGTTATGCTTCTCGCAGCCATCCAGGATGGCAGCAGAGAATGGATGACGCTGCTGGCTTGCGTATGCGCTTCTGGCGAGGCACTGCCGCCGGCTCTCATCTACCAGGGTGCACGGGCACGGTACGAGCTATACGCTCGAGTTTCCGCCTCCCGCCTCCAAGCACAACAGGTGCTATATAATATAACTCGCCGTCGCCTTAGGGAAATACAAATTTAAGCGAAACTGTGCAGGTAGTTAAGCTAAGCGAAGATCAGCAGACGATTATTAAGGTCGCCTGCTAATATATTAATAGTGCTAACTTAGTTACTTATTAATATTACGTAAAGAGAAATCTAGAATATTAGATATTATCTTTAAAAAAGAAGTATAGAGATTATTATAGAAATAGCGTAAAGACGTATATATTAGTAGATATATCTATACTAGATTTCTTAAAACTAGATAAGAAATTAGCTTACTTAGAGTAATAGAAGCCTAAAGCTAATACAGTAGAAGTAGCAGTACTTAATACGTTGTTAGTAGCGCGTATAAAGAAGAATTAGCTCGAAAAATAAAAAAACGTACTAAAGCGTTAGAAATAATAGTAAGTAAATAAGTTTAGAAAATCTGTAAAGAAGGTTAACGTAGGTGATAAGCGAGTGACGCACCTAAAATCTCTAACAAAATTACGAATTGCAGGGGTCTAGATCTATAAATCTAGTTAGTAGAAATTTCTATAAACTTTATAGCTTTATACTATAGATATAAAGATTATTCTATTAGAGTTTTAGGCTTTTAGTACTAGAGGTTATTAAGATATAGTAAACTACGTTAAAATAATCCCTGTAATTTAGTATTTTCTAAATAGCTACTTAGTTACGTAAGCTAGAACCTCTAAACTTTTAATAGAGAATATATACCTTAGTGCAGCTCTTATATAAAAGTTTTAGACATTTCTATTAACTAAATCTATAGATCTAGACCCCTGCAATTCGTAATTTTGTTAGAGATTTTAGGTGCGTCACTCGCTTGTCTGCGTCGCTCGCTTATCACCTACGTTAAGGCTTAGAAGTAGTAAATAAAATTAATTGTAAGGGTAGTCTTATTAAGAATAGTTTAATGCCTAGTACGCTTATATTAGATTAGAGCGCGTTCTTTTTTCTATTCTAGAGAGTAACTCTAGTTTTAACAAAGCGCTTGGTGCTTTGCGTAGTACTACGCAAGTAGCTAGTAGTAGTTTATAAAGTTTGTATTAGGTTTCTATATATTTTTACTATTTAGGTAACCTGACTATTTTACCAAGTATTCTACTCTATTATTATTAGTTCAATATTTAAACATCTTTTTAACTTTAAAGATATTATTTTCCTTTATTTTAAAGTAGAAGGTTTTTTAGAGTAGTATTCTTAAGTTTACTAGTTCTAGTATATTGATATAAAACCTTAACTAGATCTTTAATTAAGTAGAAGGTTAAGTATATACGTAGCTAGCCTCTTCTTATCTAGATTTAAAAATAGTCTAACGTTAGTATTATTAAGCTCTTTACTTAGTACTTTATTTTTAGAAGTTCTTTAAAAGTAAATATACTTTATCTCTCTTCTTTAGCTAAGATCCTATTTTTTGTTTCTTATTAATATATAAAATACTTTAATATTAAGCTTTCTTAAGAATTACTTTAAGCAACTTATATACTATCTTTAGCTTATTAGCTACAGTAATAGCTACTTCTATCTTTTAACTAGAAAATGTATGTATAAAGCGATTTAGGTAATTTCTATAGTTTGCGTAGAATAAAGTCTACACTATAAACTCTAAAAGCTTATTATTATATACTATTTATATTATAGGTAGTAATAATGCTTAGTTACTTTATTACTAATCAACGTAGATACGTAGGTACACTTTTATTATATAATTTGCTTACTTAGTTTCTCTATTCATTGATAAGTAGTAAGCTAGTAATAGCTTCTTCTTAGTTCTACACATAGTAAATAGTGTAGTCTAAAAGTTTAAAGTAAAGAACTTAAATCTGTTACTAATAGTGGCCTTTAGTATACTATAATAACTAATAATTTAATTAATAATAATATATAAAAGTTGTACTACTATAAAGTTATTTCTAAAAGCTATATACTCAGCTTACTTTTGTCAGATGAAGTAAGCGATACTGCATCGTGGACGGTATCACCTATGTATCACCTAGATGTCACCGATGTATCAGGTTTATGTTCAAAAAGGAGAAAGAACAGACCAACGAAAAACAACAAGATCAAGACATAATCCATCATCGCAATCATCAACTTCTCCTGAGCTCATTTTTTAGCATTTCATCTAACAACTTTATAAATTGATTAACTACTATAAGAATTCTGTTATATGATACTTTGGTTATAGAGTCTCTTGAAACTAGTGGTTCGGTAATAAAGTCTATAGAGACATCTAACTATAGTTTATTTAGCAGTTCTATTACTAGTATATCTTTATAGAGTGCGCGGGTACTTAACTTATTCTTTTAATAGTTTGCGTATTTAGTAATACAAATTATAACCTTATTTCTTTTCTAAGAAACTTGTAATTTTACTTAATAAGTTATATTATACTTTTAATACTAAGATAACTATTGTAGCACGATAATGTATCGAGCAAAGGCAGGAGGCAGGTGTTCGACCCGCAATTAGATGGAGGAGGAGAAGGATGTAGTTCGAGAACAATCGCTAGAGTGAAAATTAAAGAAAGAAGCTACTTTTCTCTGTTGAAAGGTTGCTGGCATATGTACTGTCCCTCTGATCACGTGCCATCCTACTACACCACAATATATAATCTCAAACTTAAATTTTTCTAGTATTTTTAACTATCTTACTTATTATAGATTAAGTACTTTAGTAGTTACGAATTGTATTAAGTTCTTATGATCTATAAATTATTATAAGTTCTAAGTAGCTTTCTGCGTATACTCTCTAATACCTAAAGTATATACTAATAGCTAGTAGCTCTTTATTATATACGCTATAATGTTTCTCTAGTTTTAAAAACTTACAAAATTAATAAGTAATAAAATAATATTTACCTTTATTTACTTAACTAGTGTATTCTTCTAGTGTAAAGTTTAATATATTAGTTTTAGAGCGTAATAGTTATTCTACCTAAGATATATAGACGCATAGTAGTTTAATACCTATAATCTTAAGCGTCTAGATAGTATTTTTTAATTCCCTACTCTACTTAATGAGTATATTCTTTCTAATAAGTGTAGTTAATACAATAGCAATTTTTATATAGTTCTAAATAAACTATTAGTTAAAGTTTA